TATGTTATATATATATATATATATATATTAAATATATATATTATTAAAATATATATTATACAAGAGATATTCTTACTCTAATAAGTGCATAAGATGTTGAATAAAATGGCCTTGACCAAGCAAAAGATATCCTTTAATCCCCTGCAAATGATCCATAAGATGATATTGTTTTGTCAATATTTCAACAACTCTTGTTGAAGTTTCTTTATATGCTGCATCCATCATAGTTTGCAAACGACCATCAGGATCCATATCGAAAAAGACTTCAACTAGAAGAAAAACAATATGAAAATATTAAATATCCTTCCAAGAGTTAGACAAAGCTGTAAGTAATCCATTTGACATTAACCAAAATTTTTATAAATTGCATACTTTCCGACATAAATGTTATCAAGAAAGACACTATTAAGATCTTATAGCAATAGTTGTCAATAGTTGGCATGATTATTATTACTAACCATTATATTCCTCATCAGTATTCCTGAACATATCTGCATGTCTATCTTGCCATGGTGAAAAGTCTTTACAAACTTCACGTAAGAAATTAATACTCTTTCCTGTTCCCAGAATCTTCTTCGCTTGTGCTTTACTAAGGAAAGATGGTACCATTGAATTTCTCACTTGATATTTTTCATGCCACATTCTATCTCCACTAACATCATTGCACGCTTGAATAAAAAACTCCTTATACGGGTCATCTAACTCTCCATCAGCGATCCATCTCATTAACATGTTGTACAAAGGATTGCAAACACTTTCCAAAACTCTTTTGACTAAATTTTTCACAATAGCATCTCCATGGTAGCTGAATTCATAAACAGTCGATGCTAATGCACCACCTTTTTGACCTTGGCAAGCTCTTACTATACTTGCTAACCACTTCAGAGTTTCCAAAGGATCACATGCCCAAAGATGTAAGTGAGATAATGTAACTCCATATGTAACCATTTGATGTTGAGACCTGTTATAATTATTACGCTTATATCCCTTTATTATAAATAACATTAATATTACACTACAAATATTTTCCAAGTGTATTCCAAGCAAAAAAAATATCGTTATTGGATTTATAAAACAATATAACTTTATGATCCTCATGTCTTTGAGATACTATATATCATCACCGTATGTATCTAATTCTTACCTATTAACTTCTTCTTGCATTATAGCTATAAATCTATAATATTCTGACAATTCCTTATGTAACACAGCAACAAAGCTATCAGTGACTCTGCCTGCACCAGTTACAGACATTCTCTCCAATCCTTTTCGCACTACACTATGTAAATATCCCAGTTCACTCAGTCTTAAAACAGCTTGTTTTTGTGATCTATTAATTTTTGCTACAGGGTCTATCTGAAATCCGTAGCTGGAGTCTAACTTTAAAATTTTTCCTTCGACACTTTGAAAAGAATATATCAAGTCTTGAACTAATACATCTTCTGAAATGGACTCTTCATTGAATATCTTATTTGGATGTACTAATAATCCTTTTGAACTTGTCTCTGTAGTATTTAATGATACAACTTGTGCTGGAGAACATGACGTTTGTGACAATTGTCCTAAATATAAAAAATAATTAGATAATTCTCTAATAAATATTGATTGTGTTAATCTTACCACTAGTTGATGCGATTGGGCTTAATTCCGATTTCATATCTGGAAATGAAAAGATCCTGTCCTTTATTTGTTCCACCGATTGGCCCATGTTCAGTAGAAATATTAGAATGCTTATACGATTCTTCAGTGGCTAATGAAAGAACAAGATTGATGCAAGAATTTATACATTTGTAGGTGCAAACAAATATAAATAAAATAAACAAGATCGAAACAAAATGCTTAGAAAGATGTAAAATTGTTTTGTACCCCATCTTTTAAATCATTATGCAGTTTATCAAACTGCACTGCGTCTCGTGGTGATAATTTACTCTTTATATATGTTGCTACGGTTACTTCATCCTCTCTCAGTGTTTCTATACCTTGAGTAGATGACAGTAAGCCAAGGGAAAAACGCATAAATCTTCTGATTGATTCTATAAGATATAAAAAATGTTTTAGCTTATGTATACATATATATATATAATATGTTACAGATTTTTATTTTACAATAAATATTGCATATTTATAAATTTATATACCATATAACTTATGTTTATCAAATATAAATGTATATACTAAAATGTTTTAAAAAATCTGAAAAATTTGACAATTATATTATATTATATTTATTAAGGCACATATATGCTAGAATCTAAATCTATTTGAAAAGATTATCATCATTTACATCTTAATGTACAACTTAATGTACAGAGATTTAAAAAGTAAATATGAAGCATGCCACTTTGCTGAAGCTAATTAATTCTTAAGATCTTAATATCCAATATTTTTTGTTAAATTACATGCAAATGACTTTCGAATAAGCTTGACTTATTAGAACATATAAATAACATACAAATTAATCAAATTTCATCAAGAAGACCTGCCAGGATTCCTGCTCCAAGTTTTTTAATTTACCTTACTATATTCTCAAAATAATATGATATTTTTGAAAAATGTCTCTTTGTATTAAGCAATATTTTACTGAAATATGAGACATTAATAACTCTTAATTACATTGTTTAAAATGAATTGTGTAGCAATTAATTGGAGTAATTAAATAACATACAGTTGATATTTTTTATCAGTTAATATTCCGGCAATGATAGAACTTTATTCAAAACTAACCTGGTTTTTGTTCACCACATAGAGAAATAATCATATTCTGAACCAGATCAGCGATAGTTTCAGCTTCCGTGGGATTCATGTTTATATTGAGTGATGTTTTCTATAATCTTGCTTGATGTTGTATTATATACAGATACAATATTTATTCCTCGCGACACCGTTTAAGTGTTTAACATTGTCTTTGGACCAATTGTTCCGCAATTTAATTGAGCGGCAAAATACATATAAGTGTATGTTGTGTATACACTATACATACAACACATGAGTCATATGTCTCGATCAGTCTCGATTAGTTAGTAGCAAAATTAATAATGAACATAGAAACAGTGCCACCATGCTTCTTACCCAAAAACTAAAATATCGATCACGAATTACGTCACATAATTCAAACAACCGATAGCCAAAATGTCTGTCATTCGCGTGCGTGTGCGTGCGTGCGTATGTGTGTGTGTTGCAATATTAATTTTATAAAATTAAAAATTAAAAGATAAAATGGTTATTATGAATAAAGTTGTTATTGTTGTATGTGGGAAAGTGGCAATAGTTCAATAATTGTAAAACATTTCAAATACAGTAGGTGAGAAAAGCTTTTTACGATCGAGTCTTAGGCTGGCATTCATAGTTCGTTCCTATTTTAAGATCGTCTTAAGTACCGACGAGATACTATTAAAGATAATCAATCGATTCTTATGAAAGTTAGCGTGACCTAAAATTTAAATAATTAAGAATAAAAAATTAATAATACGGTATTAATTTCATAATTTATTAATTTCGTAGATACGTATATACATATGTTTAAAATTTAATAATACGCGATTTTTATTTTTAAAACTGTAATTTTAATGTTATCATCCGAGTTTGATTATCAACAGAGATGACAAATGGCAGAGAAAAACTTGTAATTTTTCGGTAATATATAAGATATTATAGCATTATATATAAAAGTATGCGTACTTATATTTATACATCATTTATATGATAAAAAAAATCATGAATTTAATGAATTGCCAAAATCGCAAATTTGTATTAATTGTCGATAATGTCATCGTTCTTCAATTATCCCTAGAGTCTCGGGGCTCTCGGGTAATCATGAAAATTTGTCCAGTGATCTTCTGATCTTTAATAGTATCTCGTCGGTGATTTGGTTAATATATAATATTATTAAACTTATAATTTTTTATTATATAAATGTTTCATAATAAATAAAAGTAATATAATAGTATAAATAAAAATAAATATCGGGCAAAGTAAGAGTCAACACATTTTTTTAAAATTCATTATATACATTTTTGTGAATTTTAAAGAAATGTGTTGACTCTTACTTTGCCCGATATTTATTTTTATTTATTTTGTTTAGAAAGAGTCCTTTGTTTTGTTATTTAATTTAATGTAATAGTATCTTATACATTATGATATTTTATTATATAAGATATTATATATATGATATTTTATTATATAGTATTGCATAAATAAGTATATTTGTAATATTGCAATATAGCTATTTATTTGGTAGAGATGCGCTAGTGTGCACAATTTAACAATTAATTGCAAAGTAACAAAAAGCAGCAAAGCATCAATTTTTTATTAAAAATATTGTATATACTGCGCGGATTTTGTGTAATATAAAGTTATTATACACTAATAATCGCTTATTGTGATACATTTGAAATATTTATGAGATATGATAGATGAGTTCTGTGCGTGCATAAAGAACCTAAGAAATAAAACAATAAAGCCTATTTATCGGAGAGGATTAAAAATGTAATGAATAAATTATTTTACTTATTTCGTAATGTATGCGTTAATATTTCGTCACTTAAATGGTTAGTGCGTGTCCTTGGGATTTGTTTTGCCATGAAGGAGTGAGTAGACGACGCGTTACCCAGTAGCACACGTTGATTATATATATGTTCTTAAAACGTTTGTAGAACATTAGATACGTTTAGGAAACGTATATAAAACGTGTATGAACCAATAGATGCTACTTGGGTAAGTTTATGCATAGCCACCGCGCAGTCATTCAATTGCCGAGGTTCGTACAAGCAAGTAATTCGGGTAGCCATGTCACTCGCAATAAGCGATTATTAGTTTGTTATTACTTTCTATTATACGAAATCTGCGCGACGTACACGATATTTATAATAAAGGTTTGATACCTCTCTAATTCGTTTTTGCTAAATTAAACCTTAAATTAACGATATATGATTGGAAAAGTTTGAAACGTATTTCTACTAGTAATTATAGAGACTTTGGAATATACTTATCAAGTATAGCTCGTTAGTGATAAAGAGAAGCTCGAGAGAATTAAGTTTTTTATAGAGTCTGGATTTTTATTACCCTATCTTTAGTCACACACTCTGATGTTAGAACGGTAAAGTTGACATCTGACCCATGTCGTAATATCTCGTTATTGATATTTTGTTGATAATATTAATATATATGTTGATAATATTATTATGCGTGTGTAATGTACAAATATCTTCCTACAGAAATAATTTCTTAATAAAAGTATCAACTATATATTTGTATGATAATTTCGATGTTGTCAAGAGGTACTCTTGTGACACCTTCACCACTTGTCATGATACCCATGCCTGAGAGCGCAACATGTCAGCTCTATGAAACTTTAATCGAGAATAATTTGAAAATTATTATTTTTCGACATTTTTGTATTAGGATTTTTTTCTTGCAATGTTCCAAAGAATTCATTTTTAATAGGAAATGCGGTGGTTTTGATACACCCTGTATGTACCCGTCATTTATTTCAATTTCATATCTAGTTAATAATGTACATACGCCATAATTGGGAAAAATGCACGTGGTCATTGAAAAAAATATCAAAATGTTATATGCAATAAACGATTTACTCATAATTACTGTATACATACAGTTGTACTATCAAAGGATACAGATAACACATTTACAATTGTTGCAAAAGATTAAATGCAGAGAAAGTCGCTTTCAGAAGCTATAAAATAAAATTAGTGAGTTTAATACAAATTAAATGCTCTTAATTAATTAATCGTCGATAGAGTATTTATAGTTAGTTAATTTTATGTACTGACATTGCTATAAGATTCCAAAGACAGTGTTACTAAAAAGCTGCTAGTGAATTTGATGGGTTTTGTGCTGCGCTTCATAATCATTAGTAGATCTAGTTGTTCGCTTCTTGTCATTAATATCCAATCCATATGATATATCTCTTCGCCTAATTCAACACTCTATGCAAACAAATAATGATAATCAGAATAATTTAATTGTTATTAAAAACTGCGATTGTGTCAATTCTGGTCTTGCAAAATATATATTTTTGTCTAAATATATATTTTTATGGACTACCTTAAGCCACGACTACCTTAAGTGTAACTTCATTACCAGCCCAGCAATAAACATAAATCTGCACAAACAAGCAAAATACGTAGGCTGTGAAGTTAAGCACGTTTAGAAGTGTTATATTAGAAGACAAATAATATGCAGCTGAACACAGTACCAAAATACTGATGCAAAATTGAATAAAGATGACTGGACTGAATACATCGTTGATCATTTCAGCAAGTCTATAAATATTTATTATATTATTTTTGACGTATTCAAACGTGCTTATATAACGCTTATATAATGTGCTTATATAAGCGCGCATTTAATATACAATTTATGTTTTATACATACTATAGAATTTTAGAAATAAAAGCACGAGATATATGTAAATATATTTATGTGCTATATATTTAATACAAATTACACAACACACACACACACACACACACACACACAGAGTACAGGATGTCCCAGGTCTACCATATCATCTGTTAATAGTAGATTACTAAAATTATTTTGAAATGAAAATTCTAATACCAAAATGTCGAACTAATAATAGTTTTTTAATTATAAGCATTTAAAGTTAGCGAATCATATCGCTTAAAGTTCGCGCGTTGAAGTATGGTTGGCAATTTGTCTCACAATACAACGTAAATGCCAACCACAACTAAACGCGCGAACTTTAGGCGATATGATTCGCTATAACTTTAAATGCTTATAATTCAAAAACTATAGCCTCGATATTTTTATATTAGAATATTCGTATTTGTTATATTAGAATATTTTCAAAATAACTTCAAGAATCTATCGTTAGCAGGTAAATCTGCGACACCCTATATATCGCGTTACAATAGCTAAAAAGTTATTACAACACGTTACATGGAATTATTATATGATATACATACATTCCATTGATACATTAGAATTATTTCAAAATTACGCGAAAATAAAACTATAATTTTTTCTGGCTTGTACAGTTTTAAAAATGAGATATATTTTTGCAAAAAAATATATTTAGATAATAATGCGAAATAATGTGAAGATCATCTTCACAAAATTATAAATTTTTAGCATCTACGTTTATAACTTGTCGTAAAAAATTTAACGATCTATTATTCGAAATTATTAGTAAAAAATGCAAAATGAGTTTCTTCATATATTATTTTAACCGATATATATATATAGAAGATATTTAAATTATCATTTTTTTATACAATAAAGCGCAACTCGATTTTTTATTTAAGAAAAATACATGCACAAAGCAAATATTTGTTTGACGAACCTGATTATACAAAGATGAAAGGAAACGTATTTTGATAATCTGCTTGTATTGTTCACTGAACTTTTCCGCATTCCTTCTTTCTCACCTTTTATCATTCTCTGAAGGCGATGACTTAGAATTTCAAATCTTGCACATGTTTGCAAGCAAAATCCTAAAACCGTAGTTTCTGTCGCGATGTTTACAATAATGCCAATAGTCACAGCTGCGATCTCTTGAAGAGACGTAAAACAGAATAAAAGGGACGAAGTACATTCCCAAGGTACCCACACGAACCCATAGGGTATTGCGCCCTCTAACATATAAAGTATTCCTCCAATTATAGTGCCTATCAGCGAGATCGTACATAAAATTATATAAGGCATGGAATGTGATCTGCATGGACATTTCAAAAATACATGATAAATATGTGTATACATGTATATATAATCTGCAAATAATAAAAACAGGCAAAAGCTATCTTAAAATTATATAAATTAATAAATATTTAATTTTTCAGTAAGTACGGTGAAAAATATTGACAATCGCTATCCGATCGCTATTGTACAATACTTTGGAAAGTCATTGATGCCATAATGACGAAAAACACGTGCGAAACATATAAATTTGTGATTTTAGAACGCAATAAACTAATTTTTCTTTAAAATTATTTTCTTGAAAACTTTAAAACCAAATTAATCTAATTTAATTTTTTTATATAAGTCAATTTATTTATCCTCGTTTTAATTTTCTTAAATAGTTATACGAGTATATAGGTATTATTGATTTGCTTATCGATTTATTTATTATGACTGATATTATCGAAAGTCGCGTCAGTACTTAAATATACCAACCTGATTAAATGGTCGAATTTTATGTGGATATTAATCTCCTCCTCGTTACAAGCTTTACAAGGTTCCTCTTGTAGTATTTTTATCAAATTGATAATCCGATCGCGCCGGATTACAATAACAATCGCTTTGCAGAATAGAGTAATTGTCCCTAGGAAAATAGAACAACACGAGGCCAAGTGTTCCAGATTGTCGACAACAAAGATGACGTATAGGAAGTGAGTCAGAAAGAAATACGTAAATAGATACAGCGTGAAGAAAGTGTACACACTATATAGCGACTTGGAGCATTTCGAAGACCATTCAATTGGTCGCCACAAACCAGTTATGGTATATAAGAAGAAATTGAAAGAGAGTATCTGCATTTCTGTGCTATAATCAAAAGTGACAGATTTTTTTATTTATTAAAAGAATAATTCCATTATAAATGAATATCGCACCGATTATTACTACAGTACGTAGCGAAAATTATAAGCACGCGAACACAAATGCCTTAACATCCGAGATTGCACGTATATTGAAGAAAGTATTGAGATATATGAGAAGGAATGAAAAGATATGAAAAGAACCCAAAAAGAGCATAAATCTTGTGGGAAATGGGTTTTAAATGGCTTCAAATTTTAATATTTTGTAGCTCACGTCAAGCTGAAAAGTCCTTACGAGCACAAACTTTCAAATGTCTTAGTCTTTGCTCTAAGAGCGGTATCCATAATCGATTTCTATATTTAAGATCGTCTTAAGTACAGTCTTAAGATGTCACGAACCAAGAGGGCCGTAATAGCATCTTAAGACATTACTTAAGATGATCTTAAAATAAGAACGGACTATGAATACCGGCCTATGATCTTCGAAGTCTTTATATTTTGTATGAGCAAGTATAAAAAAATCAAAATAAATCCTTTTTATTACACTTATGCACGTCGTATCAATGGCATGTTTACAAAATATGAAAATTTAAAATAATTTGATCGGCACCCATTTTCCATAAGATTTATGCGGGGTTCTTTAAGGCATATTAAGGTATTTATGTCCCTGTGTGTATATAATATTATAATATATCTTTTACGGAAAGAGATTGCCTCTCTTTTGAAAATAATCGGTTCTATTTATTATATATGTTATAAAAGATTATATATTTTGTTTACTTCTTGCGTATATCTTTATGGAGCATGCTTATTAATTTGTATGGACACCTTATGAATAACCAGAATAATGTTTATAACAAGAATCAAGTATACAATAACTGTGACTTATATACGTATCAGTAAAAATAACTATTATACTGATATATAGCAATGTGTGCGCACGGCAAAGGTTTGTAAGGCACTACGAATAAACGTTCGTGGCTGCTTTGTTTGTCCCTACACAAATTAAAATTAATGATTTCACGTTGCGACATCTTGTCGACAACCTTACTGCGATGTCAGAACTGTAATTATACTGATGTCATTTAATTAGTACAACTGAAAAATATATATGTTATCCCTCTCGATAAATTCTAACATATTGCCATGTTCCCACGAAGTGAAATATACTTTTGTACAGGCATCTATTGTAAAATTCTTAATAGTGACACACATTAACAAGTATACGTATATATTCAAGTGAATTAACATCTTTTACTTTTTTTTCTCTCAATACTATAATACATTCGTATTTCTGTAAGCCTTTTTAACGCTTACTTGTATTTTCATATTGCGAAGCAAAGCAATTATACTTAATTACTAATTAATACTTAATTTCTAATTTCCTAAAAATATTTTATTTCGCTGCGACACGAAATACTCTAAATTTCGAATATACATATAATTTATGTGTTATGCATATATATAGTAGTGTATCAAATTATTATGTATAGCTAATACATGTGTATAATTATCCTAATATTAAGACATAACATTTCAAACATACACATCTAAAATCACATATACATCATACATACGCATGCAATAATTAATGTCTTAAATTATAAAGGATAGGAACGAAAGGTTCCAAGAATTATGATAACTTCATAGGAGAGAAAATTACTAGTTGATTTTCGAAGGTATGTCGTGCATCGTTACATGTCTCTGTAATCATTAATAAATCTACATTATGGCATTTGTAATAACGTTCAATGTTCTACACCCTCTCTTGTCGTATAATTATATGCTTGCATAATACTATTTGTCTCTTGCACATATTCGGTTAAAGACAAGTAGATAATTATCTATGTCGATATCACCTTTTCCCTGCTTGTTGAAAACTATTTTGTTTCATAATAGATAAGTACATGTACATACATTTGTAATAGTATACAAGATCTCGATTTCTCCCATATTCTGCCACGTTCATTCAAGCAACTTCATCATTAGTGAACCTTAAACGTGTGGATTTTTTGATAATGATTCTATTACGTAGTATAGATTTTCTTTGATAACAAATAATAGCAGAAAGGGGAATTTGATCACTTAGAATTGATGCGAAATTGCTTATAATGTCGATTTGCAGACAAAAGTGGGTGAGTCTGATATATATACATATCTATATATAATATTTTAATATGTCAAATCTTTATATACCATATTAGATCAATTATTTTGGTATAGAAAATATCTTTAGTTTTTAAAATTCTAACGTCATTATTTTAAAATTATCAACTTTCTTAAATCTTATTATAAACTGCAGATTTATTATTAAAAAAAAACTGTAATTTTATTTGTGCCATCATTTTTCATGTAAGATGTTTTAGGATTGCAACCTTTAATTCTTTTAGCGAAAGTTAATCTGCAAGAATTACAAAAATGCATCGATCTATTATACGTATAGTATTTTTTAATGAATATAATTTCTGAAATTTATTGCTGGGAAATGAAAAACAATACTATGAAGTAGAAAAAATAAATTACGTAATATTCAATTTTATTTTAATTGTAAAATAATGCAATGTAAAAATGACTTGAAAAATTAGAGATATTTTGATTAATTTGAAAGAATTTTTTTTATATAATACTATCGACGATTTTTTGTATGTATTTATATATTATAATATTTTTTAAGTTATAAAAATAGAAATGAAAAATTTTATATGAATATATAAAAATGATACAGAAATGAAAATAACGGAAATGCATATAGTTTATAAAAAATCTATTAATATGTATAATAAAACAGTTATAGGTCTGTATTATTTTAATTAAAAAATATATATATATGTATAGTATAATTAATCTTATACAGGTTTTATATCCACATAGATGCCTATAGCGCGCACTTTAAAGCATATTTAACATAAGATTACTTACTGTCGGTATAATATAAATGCCATGAATGTTGTCTCTATCTATAATAAACGCCGTAAATAAACTTATAATAGTAAAGGAAATTTTGCTATATGACGAAACAAGTATTATACATGTATGATTTTTTTCAAATGTATGTATAAAAAATATATGCTATAATATAATAATATTAACCTCAATAAGTCAGGTAGGGATTTATCAATTGTATTGAAAGTACATCGATAAGGTCGATTACATTAAACCGATTGAGTCTGCGAAAGATTATCGATTATTATACGTCAACATTTCCAAATGTTTCTTGCTAATCGCAGTTTTTAGAATTGTGTCAATTCGTAAATGTGCGCATTTAAATTTGATTTTGAACTACATACTGAATTATGTGTAAACGGGACATGTATGATTATATCAATAACTGAAAATCTCTACTGCGAATAAAATGTCTCATACGAAGGTAATTCCACATAACCTTATTCAGTGGGACCAGAGTGACAATTCCTTGGCCCCATTAACAGAATGTCAAAAGGATTGTTTGACAAATTTAGAAATCATTGTGTCTTCGTTTTTTCCATTGTCGAATCTACAATCCAGTACAAATGATGGCGATGACAAGTTACAAGAACAGAAGTCTCAGGAGAATATCCCTCCGATAGAAAAGTATCAGGAATTACTTGATTATTTCTTATGTCTGGAAAGAAAATATGTATCCATGTACGACATGAAATACAGTTTATATCTTGATGAACTAAAATCAAGGAAATCTGAATGCCAAGATGTTTGTTCTCAGATAGAAGAAACATTGGACGATTTCTCTGCACTTTATAAACAGTATACTGAAGTTTCCAGTAAAACCACTTCTTTATACGAAGCTAGTGAACAACTTATTTTTGATCAAAAGCAGTTAAATGCAACAATCGATGGCATTACGGATTATGTTAAGTATTTCAAGGAAATTGATGTGATTACAGAAAAATTGGATGCATCTACTTTGTCAGTGAACAGTGAAATGTTTTTCACTGTCTTAGATAAAATTGACACAAATATAGATTTTATGCAAAACAACTCGTCGTACAATGAAAGTGGAATTTATCTAGTGAGATACAAGCATTGTCAATCAAAAGCTATTGCATTAATACAGAATTATATTTCCAACTTGTTCTCTAAAACCACTGAAAGTATTTTAAATTTGAAAGACAATGAAAACTCATCAGAGAATGCAGACACAGCTTTAGCTCTATTCTATGGCAGATTTCAGACAATCTTGTCTAAAACAAGACCCGTTATCAGGCAGATTGAAAACAAATCGTACAAAAGACAAGAATATGATACCTTGTTGCTTGAGTGTCACCAGTATTATTGGAGTCAGCGAGGCTTAGTGCTAGGTACAAGCATACAGAAATCTCTGAATTTTATTAGGGAAAAGTATAATGGTGACCATTGCAGTTTAGTGCGACATTCTTGTGCATTACTCTTGCATGCGTCGATAGATGAGCATAAACTGTTCTATGAATTCTTTTCAAAACAATCAAATGGATTAACTGCATACCTAGAGAGCTTGTGCACTTCTTTATATGACGCATTGAGACCTTTCATAATACACATCAATCATCTTGAGACGTTAGCAGAAATTTGCTGCATTCTACGAATAGAGATGCTAGATGAACATGTACAGAACAACTTTGAACCACTGGAAGGCTTCGGAAACATATGCTTGCAATTATTGCATGATGTTCAAGAAAGATTAGTATTTCGTGCACATTTATATCTACAATCCGATGTGCTGGATTACAATCCTTCATCGGGTGACCTGGCGTATCCAGAAAAACTGAAAATGATGGAAGATATAGCAGAATCGATTAGGGAAGCGACTCGTCAGACTCGTATAAAGAAGATTTCGGTATCATCCACTGATAGTTCTGCTTTAGAACCAGTTTCTCGAAATCATATAGTTATCGATTCCATTTATCAGAAAACACACATGGGAAGTTCTCCAGCGGATCTGCATGCTATGTGGTATCCCACAGTTCGCAGAACTCTGGTGTGTCTGTCGAGACTCTATCGTTGCGTAGATAGATCTGTGTTCCAGTCATTGAGCCAGGAGGCAATTTCCCTTTGTGTTCAGAGCATTGAGAATGCCAGACAGGAAATTGAGAAGAGAGCGAGTACATTGGATGCAGAATTATTTCAAATTAAGCACTTGCTCATTCTTAGAGAACAAATTGCTCCGTTCCAAGTGGATTTTACTATCAAGGAATATAGTTTGGATTTTTCCAAAGTGAAGACCGCTGCATTTGGACTACTCGAAAAGAGTTCTAGGTTCTTTACCTTGTCAAACAATGCATTATTACAATTTCTTTTGGAAGGTGCACCACAAATGAAAGAACAGCTTATCGATTCGAGGAAGCATGTGGACGCGAAGTTGAGACTTACATGCCAGCGATTAATACAACACGCAACTTATTTATTAATTTATCCTATTATCAAGTTATTGGAGAAAGAAAAATTACTTGATGCAAACTCGAATCAGGAAAATGCACTAGGGAGCCCGCAAGAAATAGCAACTATAGTGGCCGATGTATTGAGGATAATCAAGTTTAAATGTCCTGAGATTCAGCAATCGATGCAATTATATTTAGCTAACAAAGAAACTGAATTCATTCTGTTCAAGCCAGTGAAAAATAATATTTGTGCTGCATTCACGCAACTGCATCAAACATTAAATAAATATTATAATGCGGAGAACCTTCTGTTGATCGCGTGTCCTTTGCCAGAACAGATTTCTGTTATGTTGAGTTCAACAACGTTAATTCAAGGAAAATCAAATCGAGAATCGCAGTCAGTTCTGAAACAATCGTAATCGTTTATTAAACAAGAAGATTAAATAACGTAGTTTTTATTGTTTATTGTATTTTCAGAAATTAATCGTTGAATAGAAAATTGATATAATTTTTTATTTAAAAATGTGCAACAAATAACTTTTCTTATATTAGATTTTGTTATTATTTTATGTATATATAATTGTTGTATGAGAGAACATTTTTTTTAGATACAGTAAAGTTGAAGTAACATTGACTTAGAATTATAAATTTTAGGATTAAAGTGAAAATGAGAAAGAGAGAAAATTTTTATTTTAATTTATTATATTAAAAAATGTAATTTATTATAAATACATGTAATTATTGTGGCATAATATACAATTTTGTAATCTTAGGAATAAAATATAAAATAAAATGTGTGTACAATTGAGCTTAATTTCTGTTATATAAATTAATTTTAAATAAG